TCATCGTAGGAGACATGCCCACATGCCCAAAGCGTTGAGCCAGCCATCAGGCCCGCCCGACGCAGAGACGCATGCAGGCCATCGCACGGGCAGAACATTTGCCTCCTACACTGACCCTGGAAGTGGTGCAGGACCTGGTAGACAAATTCCAAAAGAACTACCCAGGAGAGCTCCTGGGACCGGACAGCATGCCAAGCATCCGCCTGCTAAGCATGGTCTACAAGATGACCAAATCCAAGCAGTTTAAGTGGATACCGTGGCAGTTACGGCCGTAGAGGCGCGCTCCCACAAAGCCGCGCGCGCCGAGACGCAGCTTCTGGCACACGCTTTCTTCGATGATACCCCTGAAATCAGCGTGGAGGGCAAGGCACTCACCGCCGGCTGGTTGCATCGCACTCAGCAAGTGTTTCGCAACGCACTCGCCCTTTGCCAAGCAGTGCATCTGTGCTTGCTTCAGCCGGACCCAGCCCTCTCACTCCGCACAGTTACAACTTCGGAGCTTCTGCATGCCGATCGCCAAATTTGGGGCACCATCGTCGACCTACTGCAACGCAAATGGTCCATGGACGATGCATTCCATGAGCTCACGCACGGCCGCATGGAAATACACTCCCTGCTCATGCTTCGCCCGAGAACAAGCAGACAGCCCCTAGCCAGGGCCTTCAAGGCGGCGGGCTGGGAAGTCGTCTCCCTTGGACATCGTGTCGAAATTGAGCCCACGATCCTGTGCGACATCCGGAGCTGGGACTACACGACGTTTTTGTCGGGACACTTCGACATGACCTGGGCCAGCCCGGTGCACGGAATACAGCCGTGCGCCACCCCCTCATGTGGGTGGTCAAGAACCCGGCCACCGGGCTGCTGAAGACCTGCCCGTTCATGGAGCGCCTGCCCCGGGCGTGGACCAACGAGTCGAGGGCTGTGCAAGCCCGGCAGCCAGTGCGAGGCGTGGGAAGATGGGAGGCACGGCTGATGGAGGGGCAGTACGAGAAGGTCAGGTGCGACAAGATCGCACGTGCGGCCACGGGCTGAGCATCCCGGACTAGGCCTTTACTCGGGCTTCCCTGCAAGGGAGCCTGGAAGAAGCCTTTTTTTCCGTGATTTTGCTGGTTTTTTGGCGCTGTCACTCAACGCCGAAAAAGGCTAAGAGGGACAGTTGGCCTTTTTTTGGAGGTTTTGCTAGTTTTTTGCCGCTGCCACTTGTCTTCAAAACTGGGCATTAATTGTCTTCAAAAACAACAATAAGTTTTTTGGAGTTTTTGCTGGCTTTTTGGCGCTGCGACTTGTCTTCAAAACTGGGCATTAATTGTCCTCAAAAAGGACAATAAGTGTTTGGAGCTTTTGCTGGTTTTTTTGGCGCTGCCACTCAACGCCGAAACTGGCTAAGAAGGGCAGCTGGCTTTTTTTTAGTCGAGCACCGAGACGCCCGTGCCGGAGAGCGTCACCAGCTGGTAGGCCACGAGGTCCAGTCCCTTGAAGGTGAACCGAGCAAGGTCGCCCGAGCGGGTGCTGACCCCACTCAGGGGCATCTTGGGCACGCGCTCGGTCGGGAAGCCGGCAATGAAGCTGCGAGCTGGGGAAGTACTGCACGTCGTGCCGTGCCGTCACGTAGCTGGTGTTGCTGGTCTTCAGCTTGTAGTCCAGGCTCTGCATCAGCTCCATGCTTCTTTACAAACGACACGCATTTTGACTCGTACGGCGAAGGAAACTATTACTCTAGGCCGTATATGCACAGACGGCTTAGAGTAATAGCATTTTGTAGCGCAAAACCGTGCAAAACGAGCTATTACTCCGGTCCGTATATGTATATACGGACTAGAGTAATAGCATTTTTTAGCCCGAAATCGTGCAACAGCTATTACTCTAGTCCCTCTGTAAATATAGGGACTGTCATGTAGCGCAAAATCGTGCAACAAAAACTCTTACAGAGGACTCGAGTTTTTTTAGGCAGCCTCGATGTCCCGGACCAGCTGGTCGAAGCTGGGCGGAGGCAGGCTCTGGCGTGACCGGGAACTGCGGGAGGTCGGTGGGACTGGGGCAGGGTCATGGCCAGTCGCACATTCTCCTCCGTTGCCTTTGCGGAAGCGGGGAAGCCGTCCTCCGGAATCGCCTGCAGCGGCGTGTGCTGCAGCGGCAGGGGTTTTGCTGGACTGCACAAAGTCGTCCAGGTAGAAGTGGCTCGTGACGTGCAAGGTCGCCTTGCGGTCCCGCGGTCCTGTGGTTTGGGTGTGGGCACGCATGCCGCACCCTGCAGTCGCACTGCAGAAGCAAGGGCTTGTCTTGCTCTTTCTGTTTCACATGGGCGGGGGGGGCGGAAATTCTCGCCCCCCTGAGACCAGGGCACGCGGCGCTTTAACACTTCGGGTTTTTGTTCCTTATTGTTTGAGGTCTGTTGTGAATCTCTTGCGCTGTGGCCATTTCATGCTTCTAGCCCTGAACTCATACACAAGGACCTTAGGTCCTTGGTTTCCTGTTGAAACCCACCCACCCGACCCTGCTTTGCCTCCGCAAGGCTTCGCAACACCCCATGCACGTGGACCGCTGTCCACTGTCCCTGTGACAGCCGAACATGCGGCCCGGTACCGGCATGGTCACAGGACCCGCGGTCCTGTGGCTCGGGTGTGGGCACGCATGCCGCACCCTGCAGTCGCACTGCAGAAGCAAGGCACGCTTGTTTTGCCCTTTCTGTTTCACATTGGGGAGGGGGGGGAACTTCTCGCCCCCCTGAGACCCGGTGCGCCGCGTGTCCTGGTCTCTGGCACCCAAGCAACCCGGAAAAACGGTGCGTCCTTGTCGGCAGCTTTGTTTGGGTTTTGTATGGGTTCAAGCTGGGAGCAGTGCAGCAGACCTTTAACATTGAGGTAAATTGGAGTTGCAAAGGCAAATTTTTGAGATATTGGGGAGTTTCGCAGTTTGGCATGGAAACATGATTAGGCAAAACTGAGCGTGTTCTAGAAAGTCAACCGCGCGCCTTGGCTTTGAGTTGCTTCGTCTGGCGGCGTATTTCTTTTCCATCCATGCGCAGGTGGCCCCAGTGTGCATCCTGAGGGTCGCTCCCCAGTAGTTGAGGCAGTGTGAGGCACTCGGTATTTCTGTCATTGTGGCCTGCCCATTCTCATTTGCAGAAAGCAGGTGTTGAGCGGTTTCTGCTGCTTCCGCCTGACTACGTTCCGCGTGATTTGTGTACATTCTTCGGAACTTGCGGCTTTGCAATTTCCCTTGGACATCGACCACGCCAATCCACGCAGAGGGTCACGCGCGCAAGTTGGCTCGTGCAAGTTGGCTCCTGTAAGTTTGGCTGTTGGCTGTGTGATAAGGCTGGCGATTTTACCGGAAGAATGTTTTCGGGAAAAAACAGGGATATTAATGAAAAAAGTGCGCGATTACAAACAAGGTGCTTTAAGAAGCTGCAGGTTTCGCTTTGTTTTGCGGACGGGTATCGGCACAAAGCGCATCATGAGCAGTTGTCGCGTTGGGAAGACTAGATCATTGCGAGCCGACAACGCTTTGGATGTATGCAGTCGGTCGACCTTGGTGGCCCAACCAGCCCGTTTTTGCATTGCATATTTTTGAATTGCAATGTCCAGTGATCCGTTCATGGGGCTGCTAGTTAGCAGTCCATGATGGTCAGTCAACCGTGTCCGAATGAAAATGCATTAATTCAGATTCGGTTTGCGTGCGGTGATGTGTGTGTGTGCGCGTGTATGTCTGAGTGTCCTGGCCTTCGCCTTTTTTTGGGCGTTGCAAACTACCAGCCTTTTTGCCGACATGTGGAGTTAAGGTTTTGACGTTGCATGTTTCGGTTGACGGTTCTATGATGTCAATGACCAAATAATGTCACTGAATATGCTTGGTTGGTTTGCATGCTTGCAGCGCTTGTGGCATCCTTCAGACGAGTTCGTGAAGGGGAGGCAGGTGATTTGCGCCGCACAACACGTGGCAGAAATACTTGCACTCCGGCTTCACTTTACGGTTGACAGGCGCATTCAGCCAGCTGCTTGCAACCATGATCCAAGCTCAGTTGGTTGGGCTTAGCAGAATGGAAGGGCCAACATGCAGAGTGAAAACAACAGTTCACGGTCGTTGCACGGCTGATTGGCAGAAACACTTGGCACACTGAGGTCGGACATGTGTCTCGGCTGCTTTATGTTTGGCACTGCCCTGCCATGGGCGAACTGCATTGTGATTGTGATGCATTTGGGAGTCTTGAAAGGGACACCTGGGGGTCACCTCATTTTTGAGACAAACCCATTCAAAAGCTACACTTCATTGCCCGGTTCAGGTCCATTCGAGACCAAAATGTCTTCATGGCGCGGCTCGCAGAGCAGGCTGGATTCTGGACGTCAACTGATTGAAGGGAGAATGCGACATCTGAAGGCTGAGCGCTTTGAGGATATGGCGCCGGCCCCATGCCACACTTTCTCCCTTTGCAATTCTTGGAGCTCGGTTCGGAGCACCCCGGAGCAGATGCGCTGAGGTTGAATTCATGAGGAGAGTCGCCACTGTGCCGCAGGAGCTCAGCGTGTGACTCAGGAATACTTGCAAAGGGGGCGGTCTTTACAGTTCCTTGTGACTTTTGGTTGCATGTCCCGCGTGGTTTTCAACATGCCTGTGTGGGTTACCGTGGGTTGCAGGTCTTGATGAACGAAATCTGCTGTCCGTTGCATACAAGAACTCGGTTGGTGCGCGAAGGCTGGAGTCGTTCTCTCTAGCCTTGGGTGAGCCCTTCTTGCGGTTTGCAACCATTTTACAGTTTGCTTGAACTTATGCATGTTCGAGAGGGAGACTACGTTGCGGCTTCAGAGAGTGAATATGCTCCTGCTTCGTTTGCACAGTGCTTGAGTTGCCAGTCTTTACATGTGTCACTGCTGGGGTTCAATCCGCCTGTCAGCTACACACATACACACCACAGCGGTAAAATGCCTGCACCATGCCGTATTCGCACCCACACTTACATACATGCCCAGCCAGCTTTCAAACTGCAGTGCCTGACAGGTTCTGCACTTTTATGCCAAGGAAATCTAACCTGTCAGGAAGTGGCAATTTGTGCAATATGGCAGATGATGGCTCCTCCTTTGCCGCCTCCTTTGCCGCCTTTGCTGGAGCCTACGTCAGAGGACCGCCTGTTGCGAATGGGACGGGTGTTTCCAAGGTTTAATGCCATGGGCGGGGGATTGCCAGTCCAGTGCGGTTTGCCAGGCCATTGACAGCCAGCTTTGGCGGCTGCTGCCTCCTCCACCGCGCGCGGAACATGAGGATGCAAAGGCGACTCAGCAGACGCACACCCTGGAGGAGGGAATTTGGCGCGACACCATGGCAAGGCTGATCCTGAAGCTTCAGGATGCGAGTGAGAGGCCTAAAGAGCCGCAAGGGCCCGGCGAGGCCGTGGCAGACTGCTTGGAGGATGCCGCCAAGGCCGAGCAGAAGCCCTTGGATGTGGCTCGATGTGCTGCTGATGCTCCAAAAGTCAACACATCCCAGTCCGACGCAGATGGAAGCTTGATCTCTCTCCTGAAGGTCGAAGACGGCTCAGAAGGATGCGGAGGTGTGGCCGACTCGGACTCCGTGAGGCGGGTGGAGGCCGCCATGAGCGCCGTGGCCGTGGCGCAGGCGGCCGCGGAGCGGCAGTGCGCGCGCGCGCGGCGGGCGGAGCTGGAGGCGCAGCAGAAGGAGGCGGCGGCGGTGGAGAAGGCGGCGGAGGCGGCGCGGGAGATCGCGCGGGCCCGGGCCATCATCGCGGAGGCGCAGGAGGCGCGGGCGGCCACCGCCCGGCTGAAAGCCACCCAGGAGCAGATGGAGCTGGAGGCGGAGGCCCGGAAGGCGGAGCTGGAGAGCTTCTCGGCGCAAGTGAGGCGACAGGAGGCCCAAGCGGCGGAGGAGGCGCAGAGCAGCTGGGCGAGTTTGGCACTTGTATTAAAAAGGCTTTCGTGTTTTTTTGCATGTTTGACAGAAACAAAATTGAACATTCGGGTCTGGGGTCGAACGTGAGGCAAAGTGAAGGACCAGGGCGAGGCCTTGGAAGCGGCGTTGCGCGCCGCCGAGCTGAGGGCGCAGAGCCGGCTGCTCGACGCGGATGCGCTGGCCGAGTCCGCGGAGGAGAAGGCGAAGGCGCGGGCTCGGGCGGCGGAGGCCGAGGCGGAGGCAGCAGAGCGGCTGGCGCAGACGCGCGTGCTCGCAGCCGAAGCTGCCTGCAAGGAGCGCATCGGCCTGGCGGAGAGGGCTGCCGAGGAGGATGCAGCGAAAGCGGTTTCGGCCTGGGCGACGTTGAGAAAGGAGCTACCTGCTGGTATGCGCCAGAGGATGCTGGAGACAGAGGTCGTTTTGCAGCAAGGCAAGAAGATCAGCGATTCCGCCGTGGACAACATGCTCGCAGCGGATGCATTGCGGCGTGCCAGAGAGGTACATGCCAAAATGGAATCCACAGAAACGGGCTCCAACCAGCCAGCAGCAGCCTTTGTTGTCACCTGGGGAGTTGTACTCGCTCTGGCTCTCGACGCTTTGCTGCGATTGGTCGTCGGAACGCCCTGCGCCCGGAGGATTGAACCGGACAGTCCGCACCTCAAGGACCAGCCGAGCAACATGCTGCGCGGTCAATGTGAACAGCGCCACCATAGACAAGTGGAGCTTGTTAGTGCCGATTCCAGATCAACTTCGCTGCACGCAAAGCGAGAGGGTGAGAACACTTGGGATCACCTTTCGGAGGTGAGCTACGAGGCAGAGGTTGAGACTCACATGGAATCAGAGGCCAAGGCCAACGTGCTCTCCCAGTTGCCCAGTACCAGCGCATGCGAGGTGCCAGATGGCAGCCAGACGGCCAGTTTTAGATCGGAGAGTCGCCAAGGAGATGCCATGCGAGACCCGTGACCGAGCTGCATTACTGTTTGGCCACCAAAGACCTTTGTTTGCAGTGTTTGTGTTTGAAACTACAGGTTTTGCAGATGAGCATTGCATTTGTGCCAAGTGCAGGCGCACCCTACGTGTTTTCTAAGGCGAGTGCAGACGGGTCCAGCTGCAGAGCCGCTCACTCTGGCAGCCTCTAAAGCTGATGTCACTTGAATGACATGATTTGCCGGCCAGCTTGTTGCATCCAGACTCGGAATAAACAAGCGCCATCCATTCCAATTTGTATCTCAAGCCGCTGTTCAGACTTCTTTTGTTCTTCAGTGAATCTGTCAATCCTAGATTGGCCAACATGCCCGAGTTGCCTGCACAGTGCCATGAAGAGCTCACGGGGTGATGTTGCAGCAAGCCCACTTTTTTTGGAGAACCCGAGGTGCCAAAGCGCGCACCTGCGGCAAGGCTGCACTTCAGCAATGCATGCAATGTTTATACGCATGCGACGGGGCAGCAGACAGTAACTAGCTCTGCAATGACTTCTACTTGAACCGTGCAAGGTTTGCGAGAATTGGAGATATGACATGGGATCCGAGGAAAGCTGTCAACAACACTCGCTGCTGCAGCTGAAAGAGCTGCAGCAGGCACCAGCTGGTGTCACTGTTTTTCCATTGCTTGGTCTAGGGCGTCGTTTCTCTTTAGGTGACCTGAACATGGTTTCGCGCTAGAGGTTTCGCCCTACAGCGCCATGTTTTTTCCTGGGGTTTCGCCCCCCCCCCCCCAAAAAAAAAAAGGAAAAAAAACACACACAAACCACAAAAAAACAAAAACAAAAACAGCCAAACTGTTCCCAATTGCTTGGTCTGCCCTCTGTTCCGGTTTCTTTTTGGGTTCCCCTGAAAACACCGACCCACTACGGGGGGAAGCCGAGTGAGGAGCAGCTGCGGGAGCTGCGGAACCTCAAGGAGCTGCAGCTCCAGGCGCAAGCCGCGGGCGCCGCGGGCCTCGCAGTTCAACGGCCAAGCAGACGAGTCTTTTTTCTTTCTTCTTTTTCTCCGGCCCGCGTTCAACGGAGCTGAGCTTTTGATAGATATGTTTTAACCAAAGAGGGCAATGCTCGAAACTGAGGGCTGAAAAGCAGATGGATCGAAGCCCATATGAACTAGGATCGGGGAAGGAAGCCTTCCAAAGCCTTCCAAAGCCTCGGATTCTCATTCCCAGGTCGGGGATTCCTTGGCTATTACTCGAATTGGGGCGTTGCAATAGAACCCCGGCTGATTGATTCATGTGAACTTGGGAGGAATACGGACCATCAGAGCGGTCTCTTCAAATAGATGATATCCCTTACGGGTTCACTGCTTGCAGGTACAATCCTTGCGACTCGGAGAGCGGAGCGAGACGCAAGCTGAGTGGCTCGGAATCCATTGGAAGCAGTGTAATGGATGTGGCTGTAGTGATTTGTGAGACTTGACGCATTTATTTGGCACTGGGCACCAAGGCTTTCGAGTCAGCACAGTCAGCACCTGAGGGTAACCTCCAACACTTCGTGTGAGTCAAATGCGCATTTGGACCTTGCTTCTCGATGGATTCTCAATCAGAAAGATTGTGGATTCCAGGTGCAAATTCGCACAGTGCCGGCCTGGGCCGATTTCGCGCTGAAGAACCTGAGGAGCAGCTGAGATGTGCTTTTTTGTGTGCCAACTGCGCTTTGATGGGTCTGGATGGCGAATTGAGTGCAACTCAACCACACGTAGTTCATTTGTTCGCCAAGATTTGCAAAGGTTTCACAGCAATGTGATCTGTGAAAGGCTTCATGTGAAGGTGCCACTTGACAAGTTGCTCGCAGGAGAGCCTTCCCATCACGATTGGCGAGGCTGGTGTGAATTCAAGCCAGAGAGTTGCAGACGCTTCTCATGTTGAGAGGTGCAGCGTTCCGTAGCCATTGACCGCGCACGCCTTCAGGCTGGATCCTGGACAGCACAGTCTAAGGGTTGAACTCTGTCAACAGTTTCGGGTTTTGGCTTGGATTGGGAAATTGGGTGGTTGGGAGTGGGAGGTTGGGTCCAATGGGTGGTTGGGTGGTTGGGTGGTTGGTTGGGGGTGAGTGGTTGGGTGGTTGGGTGGTTGGGTGATTGGTTGGTTGGGTGACTGGTTAGTTGGTTGGTTGGAAGATTCGATGGTTTGGTGGTTGGGTGGTTGGGTGTGTTGGGTCGGTTGGGTTGTTGGGTGGTTGGATGATTGGGGGGTTGGGTGTTTTGGGAGGTTGGGTTGTTGCGTGATTGGGTGATAGGGTGATAGGGTGGCTGGGTTGGGTGATTGGGAGGTTGGGTGCAGTGCTTGAGAGGTCGGGGGGTCGGTCATTGGGTGGCTTGCCTTGTTGCTTGGAGTTTGGTCATCGAGTCGATCGCGTGATGCTTAAGAGGAGGAGATGCGCGCCTTGCGGCTGCAGCAGCGGCTTCGGCGCTCGGCGCCCAAAGATGTGCGAGGCCGGGGGCCGGGGTTGGCGCACCAGGCCTTGATTGGAAGAAACCCAGCCACACCCAGTGGTGCCTCTTTTTTCGTCTTGGAGGGGGTTCCCTTCACAAAAAAGGGGTGCCCTTTTTCCCATGGCGACTGAGGGTCCGGGGAGATTTATGGAATGGTAGGCATGCAGATATGGCATGTCAGACCAATGGTGACAGGCAACCAGGAGGTGGCGCAATTGTTGAAGACCCATCTACAGACTGTCAATATAGGATTCAACAATGCAAGGATATGCCCGCATGTGGCAGTAGCTTCGAGAACACTTCAAAAGCAAACTGGAGCCAGATTCAGTACAGTAGACGGGATGTCAAGAATGAGCGCACTCACCCAGACAGGGATGTCAAGCATAAGCATGCAGGCCAGTGTTCAAACAGGAGACGACCGTCAAGAAGAAAAAACATGGGGGTCATTGGGGCCCCAGGATCGTCGCGCCCTGCCTCTCCTGTGCGACGTACACGCACCCCGTCTCCACAGCGGCCCTTGTATGAGTTGCAGGGCCCTCAGCCAAAGACGCGTTTTTGCAAGTTGTGCTTATGGTGCGGTTCCTTGGAAACTGGCCAGACTCGTGCTTAAGTTTGAGAACATGGTTCAACCAAAGATTCCACTGCCAGTCAGCAGTTATGTCCTTTGGCAACAAAAGAAGGAACGCCTCTGGCTGGCAGATCTGTGTTGTATGGCAAGGGTTGCGGAATCTTTTCATAATTTTTGCATGCCCAATCCGAGCTATGAGGCCTCAGCCCAAGCGGTCCTCGCCGAGCCCTGACCCGAGGAGGGAGAGTCATTCTCGAGGTAGGCCTTGTATTGGCCATTCCGTAGGGCTCCTGGTTTGACAAGGGTTGTATGCCCTCTATAACCCTATATTGCCCAACACAGTTCGCAGTTTGTGCGCTTTTTTTGTTTGTTTGTTTTTGACTGAAGGAGCCGCGCTTTGCCTGCTGACGTGGCTGCACGCCTGAGCAGTTCTCCAGCGCTGGCAGCCGCTGCGCAGCACTGGGGGCTTCCGCGGCGGAGTGGGCAAAGTACTCCTGCGGCCCAGCTGCAGCTTCTGCAACCTGCGCGTTGGTTTCTTTGCTTCCGTTGGATATAGATCCCAGGTCGGACGGTGCCCTTGGGAAGCAATCACTTGACCTCCAAACGTGTTGACTCCAAATGCTACAAACACACAAACACAAACACAAACACAAACACGCACACACACACACACACACACCAAGTGCTCGGAGCCATGCGGGGTTGTTTGAGCACGGGGAGGGATTTGGCCCGGCCACCCGTCTAGGCTACGCCACGGCGTTCCCCAGCGCCAAAGGCGAAGGCGCCCAAGAGGCCGATGCAGGGCGTGGGCGTGGCGCGAGGACTGGCTCCGACTTGACCCTCTGGGGGTCTGGGGTAGGGATTTGATTTCGTCAATGGGGTCTCTGGGGAATTGTCTGGACATGTTCAGAATTGTTTTACAGTTTTTGTTGGGTTAAGACATTGTCATTTTCAATGTCGTTGTTAGAGCTTATTGAAGGGATAGTTCATTGGTTTGTAACATAGCCTTTCAATGAGTGTGATGGTTGCATTTGGGTGTTTTCAGTCAGCGTCAAACATATTGACCTTATCGGCAGGGGCTGAACCTCTCTGATTGAAAGAGCATAACAGAATGGAAATAGAAGGTTTGTTGTCAGGAACTTTAATGGTCAGCATCATTTCAAGAACTACATCAATTCAATATAATTAATGCTGACAAATATGATGAGTTCAAAGAATTGTTAGATGTATAACAAAGCAGGAGGAGCAGAGAGGAAAAGAGTTAAGGTTAGACTACAAACATATTTTGAGGACAATGTTTATAACAAACACTTTAAACGTCAGTCAAATTCAGAAACTCAAAAAAAACACATATTCTATAGTATGTAATAGGACTGCACATGTTATGGATTAAGATGAAGACCTACATTTGATGAAATGCTCCAGGAAGCGATGGCACACAGATCAAGAAATGAAATCATCCCCGAAAGACAGACATTTGAAACAACGACCAATAATATTGACTTTGATTTTGACCTTTCAAAATACGGTCGAATGCTCGATACGGTTCAAACTGACAAAGTTTTGTTGCACTAGTTGTGATATGTTTGATAAAGATAAAGAGCCCACCGCACAGTCCAGGACAATCACAAGTACAAGACCAACCAAGAACATCTTTCTCGGTCAAGACGGCAAGTAGAAGCAAGAAGCAGGAGTCACTCACCAAAGAGCAAGAGGTGGAGCAGGAGCAACTCACCCGAAGAAATAGCAAGAGGCAGTGAATGGACTAGGGAGCAAATGAAGCCGGAGCAGGAGCCCAGAAAGCGCTGACACCAAAGTAGGCGAGGCAAGAAGAAAAGATAAAACAACTACTTGAAGACAAGACCCCTTAATATAACAACAAACAAGTGTATCAGAGAAGAATTTAAACAATAAATTGTAAAATGTCGTGGTTGAAGACATATTCAACAACAAAGTAAAAAAGCAAACTAAAGATTCCTGACTGTATCATTCATAATATTTTGAGTTTGTAGAATGTAAACGATGCACCAATAGAAAGCATTTAGTGAAAATTGAACCAGGACAATTAGGCTTAGAAGAAATGGAGAAGCGGATATGGTATATGACGAGGCTTCACATATGCCCAACGAAAAGGTCACTAGGAAAGCATACAACGGGTTTACACATAGCATTAACAGCTGAATATGGTCGTGAAAACATGTTATTCCACTTTATCACAACAATGATGCTTATGTGTCTTGTCAATCATGTAGTGTTTCAAAGTGTAGGGAGTTTCTGAAAGCATTGACGAGGCAATATATAGACAGCAAAAACACGGTCGCTTACAAAAGCAGAACACATTTTTGAACCATGTGTTTTATCATAAATGTGTTTGTCATTTGCTAGAAAATTCACGGTTGACAAGAGAGAGGTTTAATTATCGTGGTCCTGATGATGTTTAAGTTTGTTAATATGATTATTATATTAGAACATGATTTGCCTTCTATTCCCGAGAAAGCCTAAACATGGTCTGACACATGAACTGTGACAATGTCCATATCTTAGACTGTTTTGAAATGAACAACATGTGACATATTGTCGAGAACATATTGTAAAACATTCCCAGAACACCTATTGATAAAATGAACAACGTTATTGACTGGTTTAAAAGTATTTGAAGTTTTAACCCCGAGCCTCAAACCCTACCCTGGCGCAAGGACTGGCGAGCTGACCCCCCGGACCCCCACCCCCAAAAAAAAGAGATGGGCTCCTTGAAGCCGCCAGCCTGTAAGGGTACCCTCAAACAGCTCGTCAAGTGAGCCGGACCTAGAAGAAATAAGGGGCCCTTTGGTCCAAGACGTGGTTGACGATGCACCCAAAGAGCTCGCAAAAAGTGTCGGAAGCCTGGGCAAAAGAGAGCGGCAGGACCATTTTCTCCTGTTCGAGCCTGTCATGCACTGCGGCCAACCACGCAACTGGGCGGTCCAGAAATGAAGGGATGAGAAGGGGGGGACGAACTCCGAATTTTCCAGGGCAAAATCCAGATGATCCACCCATTTTGCCGTGTCCTCTTGGGAAGCAAGTAATTTCGTGCTTCAATGACCAAAGAGATTACTGCTTGCCCTTGACTGTCAAGCCCCCAGCTGAAAATCACCTTGGTTGACCAGTATTTTTCCCTGTTCTGCAGAGAAAGGGTGTCCATTTTATCCTTTTTCATGTTATCAATTTGCGCAAAGCTGGTTACCTCTTGCTTATCTATGCAAAGCAATCAGGTAGTGCTGAAGGATGCGCAGTGAGAGAATTGGCGGCTCGGGACGAGGTCTTGTAAAGTGTGGATGGCTTTGTTTGGTGTCGCTCATGTTGTATTCGCAACGCAGCAGGCTTTCCTGCCAGCGACAGCACAGGGCAAGCATGCAAGGTGATTCAGCCAGACACTCAGTCCTTTATTATTCCCCCGCAAGTTTGCCGCTGTGGAATGAGCCGGTCCATTGTACTATAGATTTATCAGCAAGCTTGAGTTGAGGCGATGCTGGGACCATTCGAAGCCTTCTGCAATTCCTCACTTCAAGCTTTGCTTGTGCCTAATGACGCAGAATGCCAATTCCGAGACTTCGCGCAGCAAAAAGGGGGATGCGGGCGCATGGCTCACGCCGCATTCGTGCACATTCGAGCATCGAATCTGCCAGGCAAGCCTGGAGGGCGATCCACACTTACTTGCAGAAAATGGCCTGGCTCTCAAACGCCAAATCCCACAGTCGGCCGAGATTGGTCTGTCGGCAGGCCACAACGGATGCAATGGCAGAGATTGAGGCTTACAGGCGGGGCGTGGGGCGCAGCGAAGCTTTTAGAGAATGTACCGGCTTTCTCATTTGAGTCCTCTTTGTTTCGAGGTCTCATGTAGTACAGTTACAGGATTCGATACGCCTTGAGAGAACGATTGCAACTCAGCACCGAGAGTCCAGCAAGGTCACTGCCGGAATGAACTCTAGCCACGCAGGCGCCGTGTTGAGGAGGAGCTGAACGAAAAGCTTGCAACTTAGCTTGCGCGCACATTTTGCAGACTTGCCGCTCATTTTTTTCCCCCCCTGCTGTTCGCTCCACTTGCTTTGAGGTGCCACGACATCATCAATATTTTGGACACCTGCCTGCGGCTGAGCCGTCACCGGCCACCTACAAGCATCACGATTCGCCTGCCGAGATCTGCTCCCCGCGGCTGGGGCAGATGAAGCGAAGGCCTGTCGAGAGACCACACGGCCCTTGTCCAGCCGGCCGTCAGACCAAACCAACAGGATGCTGTTGGGTTGAATTTGAAATCCCAGGAAGGAGAGCAGTTAGAGACAGAGTGACAACAACAAACGGACCTCCCTGTACGGGGCTGTCACGAGTTTAGTATCGGTTTAGAATTTTGGTCAACCAAAGGAGTCAGGACTGGGTTGGTTTTGGAGCAGGGCCTCGAAATAAATGTAGGCGGAGCGGATTGTCGGCTTGACCATTAAGATATCTAGTGGACTGCGCAGGTGTTTTACCTCAAGATGCGGGGTGACTACTACCGTTTCAATCTTAGCATGGCTTTGCCGCTACAGTCACAGAGACTCACAGCATACTCGGCGAGCTGGGACAGCCAAGGCTATCTGGCTGAGTTCACCGACGGCGATCAGAGAGGCCTTGTATACTGCAACTGCAGACTGTTTTCAAGCCATGTCTGGCGGCAGATGGGATGCACCTGCCAAGAATTGCTTGTTTCCTCAGGTGCGTATGCAAATTCTGCACACGAATCGTACAAATCGGCCAACGACTCTTGGCTGACTCAGCTTTGTGAAACTCAGACTCTGTACTCAGCTCGCCACTGAGGATCTTGCTGTGACCTCGCTCCCGTTGCGGTCTTAGGGGCAGGTTCCCTGAGGTTCGGGTAACTCCCAGAGGCGGCTGAGATTTGGTCGCCCCACCCTGTGCCGTTTTCCTAGAAACATCAAGCTCCGAGAACTCCGAGGCCCACGCATCCCATTCGCTTGGGCCTGGCCCTGAACTTCTCCGTGTTCTACTACGAGGCCGGACCCCATGCTGCGTCTAGTGGTTTTGCACGGGATTGTGGTTCTGGTGAGGAAGCGCAAGCGAAATGTGAACAAAGTTGCCAAGCTGTGTGGCTGTGTTCCCAACTTGCTTCCGTAAACAATGTGCGCGTGGCTTTTCTTTGCAGAAAATCATTTCGCGGCAGTGCTTGCTGAAGATCCTTCCAGGTTTACAAGGTCACCGAGACGGCCTGTGCGTTGGCGAAGGCCTTTGCTGCTGGCCAGGTTTGTGGGTTCAGTCCTGAAGCGGAATCTAGATGAGTGCCTTTTGTTTTAGGGCTTTTGGGCTTGTTGTATGGGGCAACCAAGCGGAAACCACCTCACTTTGTGGCTTCCCCAATTTTTGAGGCAAACCCACATGCGCTTTGTCTGCATCCCTGTGCTTACTCTGCGCACAGGAAGCCTTTGAGAATGCCATGGGTGATATCGAAGCCTTGGACACAGAGCAGTGCCCAATGTGGATTGCCCGCCATTGGTCTGCCTGTTTAATGCACCCCAGGAACGAGCTCACCATGATGTAGGTCCGTCACCTCGTATCCTTTATTTCGGGTTTTGGATTTATTGTTGGCTCCGGCACGAGATCGTTGTGAATTGCAGAGCTCCTCTGCTTCAGTGCTTGTCCATACCATCACTGTGGGCTGCGTAGCTTTAGCTGCAGATGATGCTGGGGATGCTGGTAATGCTAGTGATGCTGGAGTGGGCGGACTGGTCGCAGCCATGCTTTTGTGACCTATGGACATGATGCTGGTCGTGCTGGCGCTCCGACCGTCGTTGGGCTGTGGCTGCAGGTTCGCAGACCGCCGCTGTGTTGCTCTGCGCTTTGTGCAAAATTGTTTGCGTGTCGAACTTGTTTGCATGGTTGGCATATAGTATGTGTATGTTACACATGAAACGGATCCTGCTCATGGTGGCGCATGCCCTTGCAAGATTAGCATGCTTTCCATGGTTGCCAAGCTGGTTTGCAGAGAAGTTGTGTCTCTGACCGCTTGCTGCATGGAAGGTACAAAGACAGCGCTGCCATCATGCAATTGCTCCGGGACAACCTCGCGCTTTGGCAGAGTGATCTGCCGGGCGTGAAGCTGCCACAGATTGGGGCAATGTGGGTGTGTGGTCGTTTGACGGTACGTACCCTTCTTGGGGCTGAAAGGGAAACCAACGGGAAAGAAACTATTTTTCTTCTGGCGTATCTCTACCTCTGGCCTTGCCTCTGCAACAGATGAACGGCGGTGTTTCTCAACATAGTAAACCACCCAGACTAGGTTGTTTCCTGTTGGTTCTCCTGTAAACAACTATCTACAGAGCCATATTGAGAAGCTGTGGGTTCAGAGGGCAGGCACAAACTGCCAGGATGGCAGAGCTGAGCAGGATGGCACCGCCGTCGAAGAGATGTGAGTCCGCGAAGCCATGTCTGAGACTGAAGGAGTGTGCTTCTTCGGGGATCGCGTAAAAAAACTGTTCCGCTTCTGTGGAAAGTAGCTTTGACTGGGCAAGACAAGTGCCAGAAAATTTGTCCGGATGATGTCTCGACCAATTCGAGGCTCAGAGAGGAGTATCGGAATGGGCTGTATCTTCTCAAAGGCTTATGCCAATTCCAACAGCCGTTTTGGTTGCATAATATGACACTTCCTATGGAAACGGTATTTAGAACTTGAGCTGAATGAGCCTGCAGACCCGTGGCCCATTGTGACACATGCAAAACGCTCGCAAAAGCATTGGCTGGCAGCCTTCTACGAAGGCACGTCAGCCCATGGCAAGAATTCGGGGGCTCGAAGCAAAGAGACCCCCCCGAGCTAGTGATGGTTTTGCCAGGGCTTTGGACGGACACGGGTTGATTTGCCCTTTCCACACGCTGAGGGCAAGACCAGCTTGAATGCAGCAAAGAAAATGCCCGCTGATTTGCTGTTCGAGTGAGCAGCTGCACTTCCACCTTGTCACAGTTGGCAGTGATGTTGTTGTTCCTGTCTAGATTGCAGTGCCACATTGCAAAATATGCAGATTGCAAGATTACGGCGTCTGCTGCGCATGGTTCAAAGAGGCTTAGTACTAGACAGGGAAGGGGCGGCTGAGAATGGGAGGCCACTGAATTCAATCCTGGGAGCTTTCAAACTGCCCTGTAATCCTACCATCCACGTCTGGATTTGGGCGGGAAAAGGAGGCATCCAAAGGGCGAGACGGAAGCCACGGAAGCCGCAGGTGGCCACAATGCCGCGACCATGCAGGAGATCCGGTTTCTGGAGGATGGGCTTCGGCAGGCGCCTTCGGTTCCCCGCTGCTTCTTCTCTCTTTTTTTTTTTGCGGGCGGATCGGCTTGTCACCCTTCGGGTCTTGTCACCACTGGCGCAAAAAAAGTGGCTGGGTCTTGTTGGTTGGGAGAATGTTGTCTCTTTTCTTCTTCTTGTTTTTTGCGTTTTTTTTGCTGGATTGTCTTGGTTGACCGGGAACAAGTGGTACGAGAGATGGGTTTGAATCCTAGCCCTGCAGTCCCACGACATGACCCGGCAGCTGAACGCCAGCTACCAGGAAGCTAAAGAGCTTCTCCGGTGGGACCCCAAGCACGTTCAGCTCTGCTGGACGCAGGAAGCTTTGATGCACATGTCTGTCAGACGACCCAAAGAAACAAACATGAAACAAAACAATTCTAGGATGGAATCTAATCTTGAAAGTTTTAGCTAGAGTCTGAAGGGTCCAAAATGAAGAGCGAACATGGGTCTCTGAAGAATGCTCTAGACTCTAAAGTATTGTACATACTGGTACAATGACCATGGTGCATGGGCGGGGGCGGGGGGGCTTCCTATGTGTGCGTCCGTATGTACATATTTATGTATGTATGTAAGTGCGTAACTAAATATTTATGCATACATATATAGTTAGCACTAAAATTCAAGTCTATGATGCAGTCATAAGAGCCAAGCTTATTTATGGGTTGGAGTCTGTGCAAGTGAACGATTCCCTAGAAACCAAGCTAGACGCACTCCAACTCAAGAGGCTGGAGATAGGTTAACAACACACGAACAGTTATCCCTGTCAGTGAACAGTATGAGCAAGGAAGACGTAAACTAATCGCAGAGATCATTGCGCGGAGGAGGAAACAGAGAGAGAAAGAGAGAAAGAGAGAAAGAGGGAAAGAGGGAAAGAGAGAAAGAGAGAAAGAGAGAAAGAGAGAAAGAGAGAAAGAGAGAAAGAGAGAAAGAGAGAGAAAGAGAGAAAGAGAGAAAGAGAGAAAGAGACAAAGAGAGGAAAGACAGAAAGAGAGAAAGAGAGAAAGAGAGAAAGAGAGAAAGAGAGAAAGAGAGAAAGAGAGAAAGAGAGAAAGAGAGAAAGAGAGAAAGAGAGAAAGAGAGAAAGAGAGAAAGAGAGAAAGAGCGAAAGAGAGAATGAGAGAAAGAGATAAAAGGAGGAGGAGAGTATGACAGAAACAAAGAACTATTTACTTGCCTGTCAAGGGTGCCTGGACCATGTCAAGCTTGTTTGGATCACATGAAGTCTGGAGTAGAGACGTGCGCTCGCATAAAGAGCCCTGTGATAGGCAGGCTTGCCCTTCGTGGAAAGCGGGGCAAGCTGGCCGTGACAATATGTAAGATATGTCTTAGAGGCTTCCTTTTCTTTTCTAAAGTGCGCATTCTTCTCAGGTTTCCCCCCCCCCCCAAAAAAAAACCATGGAGCTTACAGTGTTTTACTGGCAAACTGGCATGTCGGATTGTTACATCCTGCACAACGTGTTGTGAATGACAAATGCATGAGTCCTTGAGCATCGTGGTCATGCTATGTATGCTGACACAACATGTCAGATGGAATGCATACTGTTATGTCTGTGCTGCAATCATCGCTTGTCTTGTAATGGTTGGTTGGATATCGCAGCAAGATAGCAGTAACAATAAAGCGCCAAGCGCCATCCACTTTTCTTGCAAACGGGATGTGGGCCAGTTTCAGTACAAAGCGTCGCAACATAGCTCGAGGGTGAGCAGCAGTATGCTTGGTACTACAAATTTCTGCAGCTGCATGGACGCAACACAATGATTGTCCAGGTAAATCTGTACAGGAGTGGGTGATCAAGGGAACGACCCTTTAAGACGTAAAATTGGAAAGGGGCTATCACAGCGCTATCGGCCTTCGGCGTCGTTCTGAGGCAAAACTCCGAGCTCCTCAGCGCCCTCAGGCTGCTTGATCTGCCGGAGGACGGCTTCGGAACCCCACGTACGGTTGTCCATTTAGTCCATGGTTTGTATGTCCTTGCATGTTTTGACCTCACAGCCTTGAAGTGAGCGTAGAGAAGTCAGATTGTATTAGATGTGTACATTCGCGCCAGCACGTTGCTGTCATGCCTTTGGATCGAACAGGAGGTGGGCGTTGCCATGGATCGTTTCGAGGACTCCGGCCAGCGTCTCTTTTTGGTTGCTTGAAAGGGAAACTCACAAAACACCAAATGGAAGCCACCGATGTGGGTTTCCTCACTTCGAGACAAAGCCAATTGGGTGGGCTGTCCATATTTACATGCTGACGCGACAATGCAGCTCATCAGGCCCGTTCGCGCCCCACCCACCCCGCTCACCCGCTCACCCATTTCACTTCCAGTCTCCGCGTGTCCTTTCATTCAAGCCCCCTCCATCTTCACCCATGTTCCATACATTTTCCATCAATTTTCCCTGAAGGTAGGCCTCCGGGCTAGGCCTTCGGCGCTATCACGGCCAGTGCCGCTGATTGCTCTTGCCAGTTGCGACTAAGGATGTTGCAAGTGTTGCCGCTGCCCTTGAGGTGACTCATTTTCTCTTGACAGGTGTAGAAAGAAAGTGCCTGGTGAAGCCAACGATGCTGCAGGTGATGCCGAGGATGTTTCGAAATTTAAATGATGATTCTTATCATGATGATGATCACCGCCATCATGATGATATTGGTGATGATGATGATGATGATGATGATGATGGGTGCCATCATGATGACGATAACTATCATCATAGCATCCTTTGCATCACCATCATGATGATGATAGCTATCATGGTGGCAAAAGAGATGGTGATCATGATTATGGGTGATGATGATGACGATGATAACTATCATGATAGCACCCTCAGCATCTCCACGAGTGTCTACAGCGTCCGCACTGAAATGCAATACTAAGAAAAGAATGACATGATGATTATGATGATGGTGATGATGATGACGATCACCATCATGACTTTGATAACTACCATCATAGCGTCCTTTACAGCACCATCATGATGATGATGATGAGGTGATGACAATGCCGATGTCAATTACCTTCATAGCATCCTCAGCATCACCATCAGTGTCTAACGATAGTACCGAATGTAATTGTAGGAACAGACAGGGAAGGATGATTATGGTGATGGTGATGATGATGATGATGATGATGCTGAGCGCCACCATACTGATGATAACTATCATCATAGAATCCTTTGCACCGCCATCATGATGATGACAACTATCGTAGTAGCAGGATGATGATTGAGAATGATGATCGCCACCAGGACGATAAGAACTATCATCATAACACCCTCAGCATCACCATAAGTGCCTAATGTCAGTACTGACATGTAAATATAAGAAAAGACAGAGAGGATGGTTTTGATGATGGTGATGATGATGATCACCACCATGATGATGATAACTATTATCATAGCATCCTTTGCATCACCATCGTGATGATACCTATTACGGTAAAAAGAGAGACGATGCTCATGAGGTTCACACTCATGATGATGACAACTATCATCATTGCATCACCATCAGTGTCTAACGTCAGCATTGACATGTGTGTAGCAAAGAAAGAGATGATGACTGTGATGATGGTGATGCTGATTATGATCGCCGTCATGACGATAACTATCGTTTTCGTGTCGAGTGCGTCACCATCATGACTATGGTGATGGTGATGACAGTGATAACTGTTAGCACCACCGTTAGTGTCTAACGTCAGTACTGACATGTTTGTCCCAGCGGACCGAAAAAAGCACCCGTGTAGGCGTAAACATGCTGGCGCCATAGTAGCTTGTGCGCCATGTTGCGTTCGTCAGAGATGTAAACATGCTGGCGCCATGGTAGGGTGCGCGCCGCGTTGCGTGAGTCAGAGATGTAAACATGCTGGCGCCATGATAGCGAGGGCGCCGCGTTGCGTTCGTCAGAGATGTAAACATGCTGGCACCATGGTAGCGCGTGCGCCACGTTGCGTTCGTCAGAGATGTAAACATGCTGGCGCCATGGTAGCGCGCGCGCCGCGTCGCGTTCGTCAGAGATGTAAACATGCTGGCGCCATGATAGCGTGTGCGCCATGTGAACATGCTGGCACCATGGTAGCGCGTGTGCCACGTTGCGTTCGTCAGAGATGTAAACATGGTGGCACTATGGTAGCGCGCGCGTTGCGTTCATCAGAGATGTAAACATGCTGGCGCCATGGTAGCACGTGCCGCGTGGCGTTCCTCAGAATATGAACATGCTGGCACCATGGAAGCGCTTGCCACGTTGCGTTCGTCAGAGATGCAAAAATGCTGGCACCATGGTAGCGTGCGTCCACGTTGCATCGTCACAGATGTAGACATGCTGGCGCCATGATAGCACGCTCGCCGCGTTGCGTTCGTCAGAGATGTAAACATGCTAGCGCCATGGTAGCGTGCGCGCCACGTTTCGTTCGTCAGAGATGTAGACATGCTGGCACTATGCTAGCGCACGCCACGTTGCGTTCGTGCCGAGTTTGTGAGAAGGGCAGAGCAGGGAGAGTTCGTGGTTCCCCCAACTACATGCTGGTTTCCGGGGACATAAAGCATTTCTTTCCGTCTTGGTCCAACTTCTCCAAGCAAGACGTTTCCCTCAACAAGCTGTGAACAGCTTTCTGAACCTCGCCCATTCTCCTTCGTTCTCAGTTCGCTTACGCACCCGCGTTCAACCACAACCAGGTGTTTGTAGGCCCCAACAGACCCCGCGGAGCTTGCCGGGTTTGTGCGGTTTAGAGACGACTGCCTATTCTGCGCAGATCGAGACCGAATGACTCCCCAGAGGGTCGCCGACGCGGGTAGCTGGCTCGACTTGGAAAAGTCGCGTTGCCGTGACGGCAAGCTCACCTAGCCAACAAACTTGGGCCAGTACATAGCTGCGGACAGCTACCGCCCCAAAGCTACGCTGGAAAACTGGCCAACCTCCGAGTTGCGGCGGTGCGCCAAGAACAGCACTTCCGGGCAAGCGCTGTGGCGCCGACCCTTCGCGTAGCTGCCTGGCCAACAGGCTCTACGACAAATGCTTGCAGAACATGCCCTGGTTCACATGGACCCTGGCCTTGCCCTTCCACCGATGCTGGAGGAAGCTTGGCGCAGCGGGACTCTTGAGATGACTGGACAGTGAGCTGGAAGCTGCAGGGGTGCGAAAGCGCCCCCTGCAGTTGGCCTTTGCAAACCTGTTCCCACACTTGTGCGTGCAAGTTCGGAATCTGCGCAGGAAGGAGGCAGGTCTGCGCGCGCAAGCTTGCAACCTTTTGAACTGCAGGTTGTGTTTCTCTCGTGGTTTGAGGTTTCCCCCTGTTCGGGTCTCTGTGTTGACTTTCCGGGGGCTTTTCTGGGGCCTCTCACCGTGGGGTGTCTTGAGCCGACACTTGACCGCGCAGCGCTTTTGACACTTTGCTGCGAGTTGCTTGCTCGAACAGTTGCAACAACTTGACACAGCATGCAGTGTGTCTTGTGGAGCGGCGAGCTGACTTGATTTTGGAACTTGCCGCTTGAGAAGTGCTTTGAGCTGTCACGCGTGACGCAGCTGAGTTTGAACGGTTTTGAAGCTGAGCTTTTGAGACCGTTTCTTGGCAGCTTTGGCACGCGGGTGAGCGTGAGCAGAACGCGCTCAACCCAAGCAAGGCTAGACCCAGGGGTAGGGTGACTCCCTGGCTGTCACTCGCGAGAAAACAACAAAGGGTGCTGCTGCGCCGTGGGCAGACACTCGGTGCCACAACGGAGAACCCTAAAACCTAAACTTTTAGTGGCTCGCGCCAATGTGCGCCAACGCAGCCATTTTTGAAAATGGTTGCTCAGGAAGCTCTGGCTTTGGGTTTCGGGTTTCAGGTTTTAGGTTTCGGCGATCGGCGTTTTGGGCTTTGGGATTCAGGTTTGGGTTTTGGGTTCGGGGTTCGGGGTTTCGGGTTTCGAGTTTGGGTTCGGGGTCCGTGGTTTTGGCTCGACAGCTCGGGGTTCAGGGCTCAAGGTTCAGGGTTCGGGATTGGGTCGGGGTTCGGGTTCTCCATTAGCTAAAAACCTGTGCAGCTACAAGAAGGCCCGTAGACCACTTTATCATGGGCCGCGGCAGGCTGCCTGGAGTTGGGCGCTACGCTCGGATCTTTGGCTGCGGGTTTCTCGTGCTGCCGTCCGACGAGGACGGAGCGCCTTTCGTCTACGGCAAGGAGCCTGTCGGCTGTGAGATGCGGCCGCTACAGCCGAGATGGGGCGGGCGCCGCAGCCGGTAGTTTGAGCTGCTCCCGCGCTGGCTGCCGCAGCAGAGATGGAAATATGCTGGAGCCATGGTAATGTGCGCGCCACGTTGCGTTCGTCAGAGGTGTAAACATGCTGGCCACATGGTAGCGTGCGTGCCACGTTGCGGTCGTCAGAAATGTAAACATGCTGGCGCCATGGCAGCATGCGCGGCACGTTGCGCTTGTCAGAGATGTAAACATGCTGGCACCTTGGTAGCGTGCGCGGCACGTTGCGCTCGTCAGAAATGTAAACATGCTGGCGCCATGGTAGGCTGCGCGACACGTTGCGTTTGTCAGAAACGTAAACATGCTAGCATGGTAGCGTGCGCGCCGTGTTGCGTTCGTCAGAGATGTAAACATGCTGGCACCATGATAGCGTGCCCGCCACGTTGCGTTCGCCAGAGATGTAAGCATGCTGGCACCATGGTAGCGTGCGCGGGCGCATCTTTCAACAAAAAAGGTCTCAAAACAGACGCGTCTTGAGAGGTGTAAAAAGATGGGTTTAGTGTGAAAACACAAACAATAGCGGCTGATCCTTGCACTCCTCACTGTAGTGGCCAGCGTACCGTGATGAGAGCTGCCTTGCACGAGTAGTAAGTAGCGGTGTTTTTGATTACTTCCTGAGCAAGAACAATGTCTTCGAGGCCACGCCGCCATGTTTCCGACCCGGCGGGATGTTTGTGTAGGAAAAGGAAAAGATTATGATGATGGTCATGGTGATGGTGATGCTGATGCGGGTCACCATTTTGATGATAATAACTATCATCATAGCATCCTTTGCATCACCATCATGCTGATGATAACTACCATGGTAGCAAGAGGGATGATGGTCATGATTATGCGTGATGATGACGACGATGATAGCTATCATGATAGCACCCTCAGCATCCCCACGAGTGTCTGTAACGTCAGTACTATGATTATGATGATGGTGCTGATGATGACGTTCACCATCATGATTTTAATAACTACCATCATAGCATCCTTTTCAGCACCATCATGATAATGATGACTCTCAGGGGTGATGATAATGACGAAGATAACTACCTTCATCTATCAGTGTCTAATATCAGAGTGCAACCATAGGAACAGAGAGGGATGATGATGGTGATGATGAGCACCACCATAATGATGACAACTATCATCATAGAACGCTTCGCATCACCATCATGATGATGATAGCTGTCATGGTAGCAAGATGATGCTTGACAATGATGATCGCCATCATGACAATGATAAGTCTCATAGCACCCTCAGCATCACTATCAATATCTAACACCAGTACTGAAATGTAAGTATAAAGAAAGAAAGAGAGGGTGATGATGATAACTATCATCATAGCATCCCTTGCATCAGCATTCTGATGATGAAAACGATCATGGTAGCAAAAGGGATGATGGTCATGATTATGCGTGATGATGACGACGATGATAGCTATCATGATAGCACCCTCAGCATCCCCACGAGTGTCTGCAACGTCAGTACTATGATTATGATGATGGTGCTGATGATGACGTTCACCATCATGATTTTAATAACTACCATCATAGCATCCTTTTCAGCACCATCATGATCATGATGACTCTGAGGGGTGATGATAATGACGAAGATAACTACCTTCATCTATCAGTGTCTAATGTCAGAGTGCAACCATAGGAACAGAGAGGGTGATGATGAGCGCCGCCGCAATGATGACAACTATCATCATAGAACCCTTCGCATCACCATCATGATAATGATAGCTGTCATGGTAGCAAGATGATGCTTGATAATGATGATCGCCATCAAAAGAGATGATGATCATGATGATGGTGATGACGATGATACCTATCATCATAGCATCCTTAGCATCACCATCAGTGTCTAACGTCAGTATTGAAATGTATAGATGAGAAAAGGATGAGCATGGTCATGGTGATGATGATGATCACCATCATGATGAAAAACCATCATCACCCTTTGCATGATCGTGACAATGATACCTAGCATGGCAATGTCAATATTGAATTGTATGGATGGTATTCATGATGATGGTGATGATGATCATGATGATGATGATTAGTATCATGATTATGACAACTAGCATCATGGCATCCTTTGCATCACGACTATGATGATGATGATGATGATAGCTGTCATGGTAGCAAGAGATGGTGATTATGATGATGGTGGGGATGATGATGGTGAGGACGATGATGGTGAGGATGATGTCGATGATAACTATCTTCATAGCATCCTTTGCATCACCATAGCATCCTCTTTACCATGATGATGATGATGGTGGTGCCAATAATGATGATGACTATGATTGTCTAACGCCAGTACGGGAATGTATGTGTAAGAACATAATAATAATAATGTAATGATACAAAACATGAATAATATACGAACATACGACTATAAACAAGGAAAGGTATTTCATGATGACCCTTCCCGTACGCATCCCCTCTTGGGCGAGGGGTCGGCGGCTTTTGCTAGCCCCTTAGGCGGCACCTTGGCCCCTGCAGGGTTCATACCTTTTGCACGCGACTGGCCAGAGATTTTGCAGGAGATGTCGAGGCCCCGTGATTACGTGCAGCTCCCTGGTGAGGACTGTGAACATGGATGCTGTGCTTTAACTGGTGCTCGGGACCCCCAAAAGGAGGGAGTTTTAGGGGCACCGCCGATGTTTTTTGGGAGCCCTATGGCCTTCTGTTTGTTTCTGGCATGTGTCTCACATGGGACCCGTCGATGGATGTGCCGGAGGCAGGAGAAGCGGACAATGGCTTTGAGCAGGAACGCATGAAGCGCTTCATTCATTTGATGAAGGCGCTTGTGCCGGCTTTCAGTGAATAGCCTCGGGGGAGAAGGGTCCAGTCGGCTTGCTTGTTCCATTGGAGCTTGACGTTCAGAACCCATGGGTCTTGTTTTTTTTGCCCGTCTCCATGGTGCCGAGACTTTGCAATTTGTCTAGCACAAGACTGCTGCGAAGCCAAGTCGCTTGTTGCATGCTGGCAGCACAATGTGATTCCAGCCATTCCTGCCCGGAGGTCATCGAACGCCACCAGCTAAGCCGCTGCAAGGGCAGTACTGGCTTTGCACTTACATGAACTGGCTGGCAGTGTGGCCAATGAACAGACACGGCCAGAAGATTTCCTGGCCATTTGCCGCTTTCAGCATCAGGCCGCTCGCGCCGGGTGCCGGCGGAAGAGGCTGAGAACTTTGGGAACAGCAGACATCTGCCGACTGTTCATTGCAGCATGTCTCTTTTTTGGTGCTGTGCTTGGAAGCTTTGGGCACAACAAAAACACGCAGCAAGCCAGGAAAGACGCGCCTGTCAACTTGGCACCTGTTCGATTGTTTTGGCTGGTCTGTGTTGTTTTTTCCTCGGCAGCTGCCCTACCCGGCGGACACGCCTCAGCCTCGAAGCTTCGCGAATGTTCGCTTTTTGGAGATATAATCCACTCAGTGGCTGGAGGACATAAATCTGATGCGCATGATGTTTGCAAAGGGTCCCCAAATAAAGTTCATATAGTGCGCAGCTTCTGAGACCAAGGTCGCCCACCAGCGTGGAACGGATTATTGCCCTCCAAGATCAGGAATCCATATGGGACCGCTTGAAGGCCTGATCAGTGTTTGAGAGTTTGATGTGATGAGACAGATTGCGCTGTGCTGGAGCAGCGCGCACGCCATGAATGGACATTTCGCAAGGCTTACTGGATTGAGATTACAAGCCTGGAGCCAAGCTGGTGAACCTAGGGAAGGTGCGCAGCAGCTTGGCATCGCAGTGTGCTTGGCGCTAGACACCGCCAGTTAGATTTGCTTGTCGTTGAACTGCCCCTTCCTTCTGGCGTCGCGATGGAAAGGTCCTATGGAGTGACGCAGAACTTAGCAGAGTGGCAGAAAGGAATTTGGAACTGCATGCTTGAATTTGTCTCTCATCCTGTGTGATGGTCTGGAGCGGAGACTACTCACGTTTCGACGCTTGATAGCAAGCAGTTGACCAGTTGAAGCTTCATCACAGCTCCTGCATCACTCTAGCAGGCTTCGTTGAATTCATGCTGCCTTGACCAACTTGTGACGCGACCCCAGCAGTCTTGTTCGCTGACCAAAGAAAGGAGACCCAACGCTATTCGCTCAGATAGCGTTAAGTACACACTTCTAGTGGGGGGCCCAAGGCAGCAGATTGAGCCAATGTAGAAAAGACGGATGGCCAAGTGTGCCAGCGAGGCACGCGACTCCACCTTAGTATTTGATCAGATTGGTTTCAGTTGCTACCGGCCACCCTTTGCAATGCTCCTCGGGATGCTTTGCTGCAGTGTTTGAAAAGAGAAGTGCTGGCAGGCATTCCATGCATATGCAAAGCAGCGCATTCTATGGGCATGACTGCATAGGCTGTCTACTACGCTCATACCAGTGCCAAGGTGGCTTAGCACACACACACAAGCACACACACAAAAGCGTTCTATGAAAGTATATGCAGCGAGGTTGCAAGGTTGGATCTAGGTGTCCTTTGACGCCTCGAGGGTAATTTGATGGCCCTCCTGACAAGTTTGACAGCTGGAGTCTGCTTGCACTGTTTACCCATTTGTCGTTGGATCTTCCGTCCAGGCCGAGCAATCCAGCCAGCCAGCCAGCCAGCCAGCCAGCCAGCACGCCAGCAACTGGCAAGAGAGTGGCCAATGATATATGGAACCCATGTCTTTGTTCATATTGGGATTTCATTCTGGTCACGGTTGCATTGACATCAGGCGATTTCTGTTGACTCCCCCGGGTCCGCCAGGCGGTAGCAATTGATCGTCGAGATCCACGGCAGCTGCGGGAGCTTCGGCGGGCTTGCCCGGATTGACGAGAGGGCATCAGCGCAAGCAGCGCCGCAAGCAAAGCCGCGAAGGAAGGTCAGAGAGACAGTCGCACGGCGGATATCCGGGCTCGTTCTTATGATAGGTGGACTTTCTCGGACATGAGCTTGTTGGTTTGAGCTCGGAGTTGGCGCCTTTCGAGCAACATGTTCCACCTCCTTTGCCAGGCCGGCCGAAATTGGCGGCAATACTGACAAATACTCGCGCGGATCTTGACACGCCTCAGAAGCAGGGGCATGGCAGTGGCACTGAGTTTCTGGCCCCAACAGCCTGGAAGTGACATTTTAAGCCAACTTGGGAAGTCTATCATCAGCCTGGGCGGCTACGCTCGTAACATGTCACTTGGTGGTGCCGTACTCCTGAGTGCAGCTTTGCAAGCATTCTCCATTCTCTTTCGTTGGTGGACTTGCATTGATCAAACGCTCATGCCCGCATCTTTGCGAGGTGGCACCAAACAAATTGGGAGATACACTGCACGGTGCCAGTTGATGCCGACGCTTGGCTTGAGTAAGAGATGTGTGCAAAAATTGGAGTGTACATGGATGCGCTTTTCTTATTTTTCTCGGAATCCAGCTTTGGTGGGATTCAAAGCAAACCAAAAAGGGATACCGGCAGTTTGGGGTCCCATTTTGAGAAAAACCCACATCCAGCAAGTGAGGTTTGCGATTGTCTGGCATCCAAGGAGACGACTCGGTTCGATATTGAATGCAGCATCAAGCCAGTGTCCTAGATTGGATTGGAGATGAGTCCGGACAAAATGGCGAATCCATTTGGGAGAAGTGGACGAGGACACCGGAGCGAACCCGAATTTTCCAGCGTCCATTGCGGCAAAACCGCGTAGTTCTGGTCCGCGCTCATATTCCCTTGGGGAGGCGTTAAAGCGCTCGCCATTTCGCAGCTCGTGCCGCGGATCAGAGGCGGAGACATCTGCTCCTCAGCGTATTTGAAGAGGCGCGCCAGGAGTATTTTGGAGTCCCCGAATGGGGGTAGTGGGGTTTTGGGCCATGGCACTGCTCACGAAAGTGCAAGCGACTGCACAGGTGATTTTCAATGGGAGCCTTTTCGACAACATCGACCCAGAGGTGACCGGAATCGCTTCCCATCCGGTAGCTGTTGAACTCTTTGAATTTGCACGGCAAATCAAGAAACCGAGGGTCTTCAACGCAAAGAGTCTCTATGTGTTGGGGACTCCCTCGAGCGCTTCGTAGGAGAGCTCGTGGATCTTGGAGAAGAATCAGAAGACCTTTCCTCCCAGGCACATCCGCTTGGGAAGACATCGCCTCAAAAAAGCCACAACCGAGCAAGCCTGTCTTTTTCTCTTGCGTTTTCTGTTTTCGTACTGAACATCAAGGTATGGTACTCGCTGCCCAGGCTTGAAGTCGTGATTTTTCTCAAGAAGGACTGTGGCTGGGTGCTGTTACAGCCAGCTTGTCGACAAGTACTAAAGCTGGCCAGCTTCGCCTGCTTAGCCAAGCTGCATGGCGCACTTGAGATAGACATGAACGTTGAGAGTGACTTGATGCGTATCATGGTTGGTAGCTTGATTTGTGCAGTCGCTGGCAGGAGCTTGAGTCACAGGGCCGAAATCACTGGACATGTGTTGCCAGGAGCTTGACTATGTTATGTGTCGAGTTCTTGCAAAACGGACATGCGGCCTGGGTATGCAGCTCCCCCCAAAACGCGGGTTCGTTTCCGCAGATCACCTTGGCCAGCATGACAATTGAGAAACCCTTCGCCCCTTCGTCAAGCATGGTTGACGGGGCTGCGACGCAAGCCGCACTGGCCCTGCGAAACCAGCCGGCTTTGAATCGTTCCAGGCTCACCGAGAGACAACTCTCCTGTTTGCGGCAATTCCACAGGCACCATTTGCACCGGAGTGAAGCACTGAGGTTGATGGCCATCCCAAGATTGATGTGGACTGGCTGGGTCCACCCATCAAGGCACCTGATCCAGCCTGGTTGAAAAAGGAGGAGGTTAATCCCTGTGCTCGATTCGGTCCATGGGGACCTTAAACTTGCTCCCACGAGCAGGATTTCATTGGATTTTCAAGAATCGGTCAATGCGTGTTGTTCCACCTTGACTCGAGCTGAGACGGAGATAGAGGCTGAATGAGCAGAAGAAGGTATAGAGACTGACGGACAGAAATGCAGAATCGTGTCGAGGAAGGGAAAGAGAGAGCTGTCAAACTACATGCTTCACTTCCTGCATTTGTGTTGCATGTGACTGCAGGCCTTGAGCTCACTACATCGCATGTGTAAAAGGTGGATTGCTGCAGACTACAATCGGTTGACTGTTTGTTTGAACAATACAACACTTGCACTTGTAAGCAAAGTAACCACCGATTTTAACATGGTAGCGGAGCTGAGATCCTAAACATAGGGGAGCTCCAGTAAGCAGTAAGTACTACAACCACAGCAACAGCAGTCACATGCCAAACTACTACGACATGTCAGGAGAAGCAGCATCAGCCTCAGCACAACAAAATACAGGAGCAGAGAACGGGCCAACAGCAGACACGGTAGGAGCCACAACTACGGGAGCAGGAACAGAACAAGACAACGACGTTCAGAGACTACATAGATACAAACTGCCACCACCCTTCTTCACTGGTGACTACTCCCAGTATGAAGAATGGCTGTTCAAGCTACAAGCATACCTCGGCCTCATAGACCGAGACTTCGACCTGGTGCTACAACTAGCACAAGTGGCTACACGACAGATTGAGGACACAGACATAAAAGCCCACATACGCGACCCTACACAAGCAACAAAGCAGTAGACCTCTCACGAGATCTACACTACATCCTCATCAACATCTGTCAGGGAGCAGCAGCTACAGTAGTAAGGCAAAACCGCTACAACGCAAACGGATGTGAAACACTACGACTACTACACAACAGGTTCAGCCTACCAGTAGGAACAAGGAGCGTTGGTTACCTTACCAAACTACTGGAACCCACATTCAACGAAGCGCAGTTTGAAGAACAATTTCTACAATGGGAATACGACATCAACCGCTACGAGAAAGACAATGGAACAGCACTACCAGATGGAATCAAAATAGCAATACTACTCAACAAAGCCAAAGGAGCACTGCAGCAACATCTCTAGATCTACTTCAGCAGTAGGAACAAACTACAATGGAGGAGCTGCACCAATGGATGTTGACAACATATGGAGGAAAGGAAGAAACTACAAAGGCAAAGGAAAAGGAAAAGGCAGCTACAAAGGAAGCAAGAGCAAAGGCAAGTACAGGAGCAAAGGGCGCTACAAAGGATTCGACAAAGGCAACAAAGGAAACTACAACAAAGGAGGATACAACAAGAGCAAAGGAAAAGGCTACTCAAGATCCAAAGGATATGGATCAAGCAAAGGCTACAAAGGCCAAGGAAACTACAGCAAATCAAAAGGAAAAGGAAGCAACAGCTACACAACATGCCATCGATGTGGCAAGCCCGGCCACTGGGCACAAGACTGCAGAGTGCCGGTATGGCACATAGGAGAAGGAGAAGAACTACATCCACTAGAACAAGAACAAGCAGATCATGACAACCGTGAAGAACTACCTCAGGATGTAAACGACACTTGGGACTGGTACTACGAAGGAGAAGAAGGACAACACGAGGTGAACTACATGGAGGAGAACTGGAACGACTACGACTATGACAACAGCTGGGATTGGAATGACAACAGCTATGAGGACACAGCAAACTACATTGGAGGCATCAACGAGTCACACCTTACCATTGGACACATCAGACAAGCAAACTCACGACTACACAAGCACAAATCCAAATCACTACTTGGTGAGAACAACACACACACAACATCATGGAACGACCACAGCAAGAGCTTTCAACAATTCCTACAAGAAGAAACCACACAGCCACACTTTGGCATAGCAGCAGCAAGACAACAACAAAGGAACAAGAAGATTGAGGACACTATCACACACTACATCATGTACTCCAACTTCACGTCATACCACCACCTGTTGATCGACTCAGGAGCATCTACACATGTTTGTCCGAAGGACTACGCACCAGACCTACCGCTACGACCTTGTGGAGAATCGGTTCCACACAACTACACAGTTACAAACAAGAAGATT